CTTTCTTTCTTTCTTTCTTTCTTTCTTTCTTTCTTTCTTTCTTTTTTCTTTCTTTCTTTCTTTCTTTCTTTCTTTCTTTCTTTCTTTCTTTCTTTCTTTCCTCCTGCTTTCTTTCACCCCTCCCTCCTTCCTTCCTTCCTTTTCTTCCTTCTCACTCTAGTGGCAGTGGGTCCATCCAGCTAGATTGTTCAGAGTTTTGCAGTGTAAATTCAGCGCCAGGAAAATAAACACAGATGGCTGGTGCTTCATTTAGTATATTTATAAACATATTAAGTAAATTTTACAAGCCAGTTGTAGATTTCTCCAACATGGAGCAAACTCAAAACAGAAACAGACATCAGTTTCACTTTAGTTCAGCAGGCAGGCAAGCAAGATACACAGCAGAGAGAAGCAGTTTCATTTTAATAGACAGACTCAGAGCTCAATATAGCTTCAGAGCTGCAGAGCTTAATATATAGCTATGCCTAGGCTACTTCTAGTTTCAGTTTCCAAACAGTCCTCATTGGCTGACTTAGTTACTATGCCTATTCATTGGCTGATCTTGTTATCATGCTCTATTCCAGTTCATGAATATACTCTGACACTCCTCCCTTCATAACTGGAATAGACATAAATCCAATTACCTTTAATATTCTTCAGATACCTGTATCTGAAGACTCACATTCACAGTTCCCTCCAAATACCCGAGAATCCCTTTTTATACTTAATCCAACATAATTGTGCTGATCCCCACCTGCATCCTACAGCTTTGCTACCCTGTGGCAAAGTCATAGATGTGAATACTTCATGTTCTCCCATGGATTTCATTTCTTTGTCCATGGCTTCTTTCCACTTTACTTGTTTAATTTTAGGTAATGCCAATACTTCTTAGAAGTTCCTTGGTTCATACCATACATTACACACTTTAACTTCACTAGCAGAATACCTGTCAGGTGGAATCCCCTTGTTCCTTCACTCTGACCTGCATGGCACTGACTGCCATTGTGTGTCAACCCTCTCTCGCTTATCTTGTTCAGCTTCTCCTCCCTAAACACTGACATCATCACTAAGTGAATTACCATCACTAAGTGAATTACCATCACTAAGTGAATTACCATCTCTAAGTGGATCACTGTCACTAAGTGAATCATTCCACAAATTTGCATCAATTCTGTTCCAATTTTACTCTGCAAAGCTTGCAGACCTAGAAAACACTATTCTTTTGCTCCCATTGCTAAAGCGATAACTCTTTGAGCCTGGCTCATAGCCCACAAACCTGAGCTTTCTAGCCTTTGTGTTTTATTCCTAACTTTCTTCTAATTGCTTTTGGAATATGCACCTACGGATTGCTTCCAAACACCTTTAAATGTGCTTGAGATGGTTTTCTCCCATGTAGCACTGCATATGGAGTATCATTAATGGAGGAACTCCACAACCTATTAATTAAATAATTAGCAGTCAATATGGCTTCACCCCAATATGACTTGCTTAGACCAGAATCCTCTAGCAGTGAGTCCTTCATGGTTTGCAAGACTCCATTCCATCTTTCAGCAACACCATTCTCAGCTGCTGTGTAAGGATTTGTGCATCTGTGTAATATTCCTTACTGTGCCAACCACTGTTGAAAACCTGTTGACATAAATTCTGAACCTCTGTCAGTTTGCAGCTGACATACGTGTTGTTTATACCTTCTTTCTACAAAGCTTACCCATTGCTTAAATTTCTATAGCACCTCTGTTTTACTCTTTAGTAAATAGCAGAACCCAAACCTGCTATAGTCATCTACAATGACCAGCACATACTTAGCTCCTCCTAAACTGGCTTGCATTGGGCCCATCAAATCTATATATACCAGCTCTACAGCTCTTGTTGTCTGCCTTGTCCTACTCTTGCTTACTGGGAATGCCTTGGACTTTGATGTTTTGCATACTGCACAATTCAAATATGCCTTACATCCCTTTAAATGCAATCCTTCTGCATACTGGTCCATTTTTTGAACAACTGTAAAGCTGGCATGCCCAAGCTTTCTGTGCAAAAGATGAAAACATGAATCATGTTTTGCAACATTGCCAAATGTTTGTGCACATTGAACTTTTTGTTCCTGTAACTTATAAAGATTATCATGCTTTATGCCCTTTGCACAGACAATTCCATTTTCCTTTATAAGACACTGCCCATTTACAAATGTAGTCTCAAATCCTTGCT